AGGGGCTGACCGGGGCTTGGGGGGACAATGGGGAGGGCTCGCTGGTGTCCGTGGGTTTCCCCCAGGCGGCGTGGGCTTGCTGGCTGTCAGGCTGGGGTTCCCCGAGTTGAGGTCTGAGGGAGGTTGCGCTCCTGCCCCAGTCGGGCCTGCGCTCACCCCGGGTGTGGGCCTGGCTGTGGCGCTGCTGTTAAAGGTGGCTGGATTTTGTGCCTGTCTCTAGGCTCCTGTGATGCCGCAGTTAAGGTCAGGGAAGGTGGTAACTGCCAGCGAGGTGAAATCGACTGACGGGATTGTTGCCAGCCCAAGCTGTCTGGTTACAGAGGTAGGATGCGAGCCACAGAGAAAGCTGGTGGTGGAGCAGAGTCCTCTCCTGACACCAAAGAGAAAACCCAAGCAGCCCTTGTCTTCCCGTCTCCAACCTGCCACACTCACCAGTGTTTCCTCTGAGCAGTTTGTTCCTCTCGTGCCAATCCAGAAAAAGAAAAAGCAAGGTGAGTGTAGCCAGAGGCTCACAGGTAAAAAACAACGAAGGGGATACAGTGCAGGAGGGGTCTCAGAAGTAACAAGACTTTGTGAAGATTGGCAGACAGCAACCAAGGCTGCAGCAACGTGCTAGGAAGGGACTTGTAAAGAGAGGGACATGACAAGGTTAACACTATTTTTCTCAGGAACCCTTTTGCAAAACACATTCTCATCTGGGACTGAAAGGAAAGAACGTGGCTTAGAAGGACTGAACCTCACAGGTTTCCAGGAGAGTTCAGGGAGCTCAAGAAATAAGGAAATAAAGTTACAAATCTCATCCTCAGAGGAGGAAATAGAGAGCATAGAGAGGCATGGCATGTCCTGTTTGCCATAGGTGCTGCAACCCCAAAAGTGCACTGTAGTATTGAAATGAAGAGCATTGACTCCATGATAGCGAAGATGTGAATCACAGAATCACAGAATGTTTGGGGTTGGAAGGGACCTCAAAAGATCATCTAGTCCAGCCCCCCTGCCAGAGCAGGATCACCTACAGTAGGTCACACAGGAACGCGTCCAGGCGGGTTTTGGATGTCTCCAAAGAAGGAGACTCCACAACCTCCCTGGGCAGCCTGTGCCAGTGCTCTGTCACCCTCACAGTGAAAAAATTTTTTCTAATATTTTTGTGGAACCTCCTATGTTCCAGCTTGTACCCATTGCCCCTTGTCCTGTCATTGGACATCGCTGAAAAGAGCCTGGCTCTGTGCTCCTGACACTTCCTCCTTGACATATTTATAAACATGTATGAGGTCACCCCTCAGCCTCCTCCAAGCTAAGGAGACTCAGCTCCTTCAGCCTTTCCTCATCAGGGAGATATTCCACTCCTTTCATCATCCGGGCTCTGCGCTGGACTCTCTCAAGCATTTCCCTGTCTCTCTGGAGCTGAGGGGCCCAGAACTGGACACAATATTCCAGATGTGGCCTCACCAGGGCAGAGGAGAGGGGCAGGAGGACCTCTCTTGACCTACTACCTACTCCCCTTCTAATACACCCCAGGATGCCATTGGCCTTCTTGGCCAGGAGGGCACATTGCTGGCTCATGAGCATCCTGCTGTCCACCAGAACCCCCAGGTCCCTTTCTCCTACACTGCTCTCCAGCAGGTCAGTCCCCAACCTATACTGGCACATGGAGTTGTTCATTTCCAAGCTTGAGTGAGAAAGGCAAGAAATATTTGATCAAACCAAAACTACGAAGTGCCAGAGACGGGTAGCTCTGCCTTGCTAGAAATGCATACACAGTGTCTAGAGGCCAGGAAAGGAGCTTTAAGTCTGAGGGACAGAAGTGTGCTGGTGTCATAGCACCTACAGGGTCTAAGTGGCCCAGAACAACCAACAACCAGAGGAAAGATGCACAAATGTCACCTCAAAGAGTGACAGAGCTCAAGTCCTCACAGTGGAGCAGACAGCCTGGGAGAAGGTGGTAAACGCTTTTGCTCCACTGTAGAAGCACAGGTGCAGAATTTGGGCTCGCAAGACAAAGGACTAGTGCTGCAGTAGGACCATTAAAAAGTGAAAAATCAGGAGATAGTGTTTCGTCTGCAGATATGGCTTTGTGGGACAAAGGGAGGCAGAAAACAGAGGCCTGTGCCCTGTCTTAAAGTGACTCTGTGTGGCTGTTAACTTAGCTCAAGAAATGCAGAGATAAGTGGAAGGAGTCTGATTTACAGTGCTCTGAGTACTACTCTTAGAAAAACATAGTTTTTTAGGACAGGGAAAGGCTTTTCTTGAAGGAGAAAAATACTTTTGCACAAAGGAGAGGAGACCAGATACATTTTGGGAGGTAGGAGGGAGGGAGGAAGAGATGTTGACAGCAATAGGCCCTGAGATTTTATTCCCCCCCCCTCAAAAGCAAGTCAGTTCATTTATGTGTAGAAGGTCAGGCACAAGTGAGAAAGGAGGCAGTAGCTTCAGTAAAGCCAAAATGAAAGACAGTGAGTTCTTCATTCATCTGTATATGATTTAATTATTTTAAAATGCATATTATGCTTTCTTGTTTTACTGCTTTTCTTTATAGGATACTGGGGGGGAGGTTTTCAGATTTATTTTTTTTTTTTTGCTTTTTTTAGTTGCTGTTCTCTGCAAAATCCTAAAATATGTAGAAATGAAGATTGCATTTTTGTGTTTTAAGGAATGGTTATATCAAACTGGAACAATTTTGAAAGAGTG